TATGTATGTATGCGTCACTTTTCCAGCTGTGGTCATAAAAAGCCCTTCAGTGCTTTTCTTTCTCCCCTGCAACACTTTCAAACTGTCAGAGCAATTTACTCCTTGTTAGATTGTGTGCAAGAAGGAAGAAGAGAAAAAACAGAGTCAGAGGGGAGTTTTTCTTTTTCCAAAGGTCATTGATTCCCACAATAGAACTAAAGCAATTACAGCTGAAGCTCAGACGGTCCTTGGACATGTAGATCCCTCGCCACTGGCTTTGTGGGTGGTGTGGTGTTGGTGGGTGGGGAGGGGGTCGGGGGAGGGGGTCGGGGGAGGGAGGGGGGAGCGACTGTAATGTCCACATTTTGACTTTTTTCTGGAAATAGAATTACGACTTTAATCTGGTACTTTCAACTTTATTCTCAGAATGCTCGGTGATATCTGTGTTTTTCTTCGTGTGGCCCTGATACTACAAGCTAACGTCATACTGAGTAACAGTTTGATTACGTTGAGTTTATTTGCTAAATGCAAGTCACATTAGGCGAGGCCCATGTTAGAGCCATTTCAGAAAAGTTGCAGTAACAGTAACCACAGTCCTGCATAGCTGAGCAGGAGTGGGTGGTAGGCAGGACCGCGCTGTGATCTGAGATACAAGGCGGAAAGAAGAACGCTTTTTAAGAAATAAATGTCATAAGGTGGGAAAATAAACTTCCTGTCTGAACTAAGGAATCGACAAAAAGTGAGTGTGAAGCCAGGGAAGACACAGTGCTGTGAAAAAGTATTTTCCCAGAGGCCTGACTTTGGAATTCTTTGCATATTCATGACACTTAAATATTTCAAGTCATGAAACAAATGTTAAAATTATATAAAGATAACCTAAGTACATACAAAAGATGTAATCTGCCTATAATATTTGAATTGAAGGGACCCTCCCGACCCTCCTTGTTAATAATGAATTAACTGTGATTGGCCACATTTCTGGGAAAGCTTAGCTTCACTCACCCTGGTCTGATTACTGCCAGAGCTGCTGACAAAGTGAAGAAGGCTTAAAGACCTCAAATACAAACATATCCTCCTGTAACATGAAGAAACTCAGAAACAGATGAGACAACGCATGGATGGATGGAGTCTACAGTAAACAACATATATACACACCAGTGAAAGAACAAAGTCAATTTTAAGTTAGAAAACTGTCAAAGTAAAACTGACATTGTGTAAGAGTGTTAGACTTTGTGTTAATAAATAACACGTGCACTATAAATTTAAAAAAACAGGTGGGTGGAATCATATTTGTCACATTCATCTTGTATCTGCCACAGAGTGAAGTTATTATTCAGTTTTATAGAGACAGGAATGATCACCTGAAGCAGGTTGAACTGGTCTGAAGGAGCTCTGTAGCCTCGGTAGTGTGGAGCGGTGCGTCTCATCAGCTGTCCGTGATGGAGAGCAGTTTGGAGCTTGTTCAGTGACCTCCTGGGACTCACTGACTCTGATGGTTCCAACTTTGTGAATCAGTTTGTTGTTCCTGCTGGCGTCTCTGCACTGATGCTGCCCGGTACACAGTCTATCAATACATAGTTTATCAATACAAGTATTAGATATATTAGTCACAACTATGAAGAAACTATAAAGGAAAAACCTGAAACGTAACTACAGGAGCAGTCACCGCAACGAGACCAACCCCCAACACAAGTTTTACAGGTGGTCCACTGACACTTTTTGCCTCCTCGAGATTGCTTTTTTTTTTTTTTACTAGTTTTGCATTTGCCTACGGTCACTTTGGTAGCGTAAGGCGATACTTGGACTGATGGACTAATTCTTGTATAGTGTTTTTCTACTTTACCTGACCACTTAAAGCGCTTCATGCCTCATTCGCCCTTTCACACAAGCACTTTCTTTCTATTTAACATTCACATGCATTCACACTGCAGTGGATGCAATGGAGAGCAACTTGGAGTTAGTATCTTGCCCAAGGATATTTGGCATGCAGACTGGAGCATTCAGAGATAAAAACATCAACCTTCCAATTAATAGACGACCTACCTCTTGAGCTATAGTCACCCCCTAAACCTGGACTCTAGAAATGATGTGCAGGTAGTCCAAAACCTCCAGGAAAGCACATCAATATTGACATTTTGCTACCAGCACAGTCTCAAGGGCATGGAGGAGATTTCAGGAGACAGGCAGTAACTCTAGGATAGCTGGACAGGTAACTGCACAGGTGCAGTCCTGTAGCAGAAGTATCTGCTCCTTTGTGCAATGAGGAACAGAGCCCTACAAAATAACCTCCAACTGGTGTGAATGTCTCCAACCAAAACCAAAGCTCCTGAGGAAAGCCTGAGGGTTCAGCGTCCTCTAGTGGGCTCTGTGAACACTGTCTGGCACAATGGAGGCTTACTGGCATTTGGCATAGAATACAGGAATTGGCAGGCCCACCATGGGCACCCTGTGCCTTTTGCAGGTACACCCTGAGCACATGTTGCAAATGTGCAATGGTATGGAGAACGTTCTGCTGCCTGTAACTTCATTCAGCATGATGTTCTGGGGAGGCACAACCATGAAGGGCCACAGATGCACAGACCTCTGCAGGCTACTTAATGGCACCCTGACTTCCATCAGGTACCGGCTGTACTCCTTGGATCCATTGTCAGACCCTATGCTGGTAGAGTCGGTCCTAGGTTCTTCCTGGTGAATGACTATTTCATGTGGCGAGAGCATGCAGGCAGTTCATTGATGCCCAGGTCCAGATCCCCTGAGAGGAGAACCCTCCCCACACCCAGGATGTCATCTGTCATCTCATTCGGAGCCCTTATGCTGCACATGGTGGCCACACAAATCACTGAGTACTATTTTGTGTTACAGTGCAGTTTTTGGCTGCCAAGTTGCATAATTTTGATTTTCAGCGTGAGTATCTGTAGGTAGTACAAGGGGCAAAACAGGCTTCTATAGCTCAGCCTGCAGGGCTCACCCTGTAGCTCTCCATAAGACTTCTCTGTGGGTTTCTTCTGGCTTAAAAACAGTTAGCCCTCACAGTGAAGTCACACACACACACACACACACACACACACGCACGCACAAACGCACACACACACACACACACACACACACAACAAGAAGATAAGAAGATTGGTGATTTATGTTTCTGTGCATTTTCATATTTCTGCGTCCCAGGTGCTATATGTTCTTTTTCCTTCTGTTTGGTTTTTATTAGAGATGCAGCATTGGTACATTACATTGTGCATTTCTATTTGTGTGCTATCCTTTTATTATATTTTCTCCTAACTTCCCTTTTTCTATTCTTCCTGTCAGTTTAGCTATTGTCACTTTTCAATTCAATTATATTCATATAGCGCCAAATCACAACAACAGTCACCTCAAGATGCTTTATATTGTCAGGTAGACCCTACAATAATACATGCAGAAGAAAACCCAACAATCATATGACCCCCTATGAGCA